TTTAGCGAAATTACTGTTAACTCTGATTAACCTACAGTTTTGAAAGACATACCGCATACAGCGATCGGTATCATCGATCGGTTGCATATGATCACATCCGTTTTACTCGCTTTCTGACGCATAAAGTTAAACTCTTGGAAAATCGGGTCGTACAAAAGCCCAGTTAACACTATCCGGCACTAAGAGTTTTAAGACTGCTCAAAATACAAAAAATATTATAAATTGTCTATTCGGCGCCTGGGGATAAAAAAGGTCAAATTCATCAAATTGCCATGAAAATATTGAAACAAAATATCAATGCAATCACATGCAGATACTTGGATACCCTGGTTCCAGAGGTTTATTCTTATTATTTTCATTGCGAAGGGGAGAGGAAAAATAAACCTCTGGTTGAAAGCGGCAATTGATTCATTGAGCCGCGCCAATCAGTTTGAATTAGGTTCAGATCCTGACTCTGTCTCCTGATTGGATGATTGTATTAAAGTTCTCTGATTGGTTCAAATAGAACATCTATAACCAATCAGAGAGCTTTAATACAATCATCCAATCAGGAGACAGAGTCAGGATCTGACCCTAATTCAAACTGATTGGCGCGGCTCAATGAATCAATTCGGCCGCTTTCAACCAGAGGTTTATTTTTCCTCCCCTTCGCAATGAAAATAATAAAAATAAACCCCTGGAACCAGGGTAATACTTGGATAACTTTTCTGACTTTGCGGAGATGCGCGTCTGCACCACAGTCTAAGACACTCGTTACTCAGATTATATGCACACGGTACCGTTTCCGAGCGTTTTTCCGGGTTTTTGGTTGTAATTAATGCGTTAATTTCTGAAACTGAAAGTACCATTTTCACGTACGTTCTGTTCACACGAAAACGTATGAAAACGACGTCAGGAAGCAAAAACGTTTCAAATAGTGAAAACGATGCCAAACATTCGTTCTCTATGTCTGAAACGTTTGGTCGTTTTGGCACTTTGTTATTGTGTAAACAGAAAAGTAGAAGGCGAAAATGAAATTCCGTGTTTGAATTTGGAAACGAAGACTATAAAAACTAGTGCTTTGTCAGAAAATGTTGCGAGAAAAACGATCAATGTGAACAAGGCGCCTAAACGCTAATTTGAAAACGGCACTGCAAAAACGCTCAAAAACGTGACCCGTGTGCACATAGTTTCAGTCTCGATTTAGGACTTGTGAAATTATGTTAAATTAAATTTTTTTTTCAGCTTTATATGTTTAGTATACAACAACCCACGAACAGGCATCCATTTCAAAACAATAGCCATATTGGTGTCCCTCAGTTACTAGCACACCAATATGATTCTCAATCATTACCTATATCTAACCTTTACAAACTTTTGAAAAACTCGGCAAATTCAACTAGCGTCACTCGGCAATTTGACCTTCGACACCCCCCCAATCCATATCCCTTCGCAACGGCCCTGTGAAGAAGCCAACCTAACCGTGTTTCATGATCATGAGTTTCCTACATTATCCAGTGTTTTTATGATCCCATGATTAGACCGAAAAATTGTCATGAAAGAAAAAATAGGATATGTTCTGTGAACCTCTTATTTTACGTCGAAATTCTCCTTATATTTTTCATGTAGTTGCATCCCTACCAACGAAAGCTTGTTTAGATATACATAGTAATTCTGGAAAAACAAAGAATTTTCTGTTGGATATTGCCAGTGATATTGCGGTGGTTTTCACCGGAAGTTAGTGTATGCGCTTGCGCAGTGTTATATTTACATTTTACCACGACAGTCGGACTTGCCATGTTTCTGTGATCATCAACTAACAATCATATTTGTCAAGTTGTAGAGATCTCGCATAATTTCTGCTCTTCCGATCACAGAGCGTTGCGAAGATAAAGTTAATTAAATGGCTGTGTAATACTTTTCCTGACAACCATGTGTGAGGACGTCAAAGTACACGTACGCATAGACAGAGTTTTTGAAACTTTACCAAGTGCCGAACACGCTGTGTTTATAATCTAGCGAAATGGACAACGGCGGCTTATCAACAATTTTACTGGATAAACATCATTTAACAGTTGGCGAGACAGTTACGCTGTTCTGCCATGGCCTCACTACGAGTGCTACGGACTGGATCGGATTGTTTTACACAGGTAATTTCAGATCTGTTTGTATTTTCCGGATAAAGTATATGATTATTGAACTTTGTTCAAGAATGTCGCAGACTTTCGCACGTCTGTGTTGATAAAGCGCTAGCTGTGTGGTAAAACCATAATCAGTGGCGATCATTAACTCGAAGAGACGCTCCCAATTTTGTAATAAAGCCGAAATAAAATTAAGGCCATCCTGTATTGTCTGTCGATAGCTATGGTCGATAGACTTTAATCCAAACGTCAAAAGACTAAGATCAAAAACTATTAGAACTGTCAGGACTTTGAACGGAGCTGTTTTTATCATGCCTAGGAGACGGATTAGCTTGACAGATAATGAGTATTCATTTCATATGCTCTTGGGATGATTTGTCAAAATTTTACTGCAGTTATCTTTGGTAGTTTTGACAAATTTAAATTGTGTTTGACAAGTTCAATATTCCGGTATCGGATGATATTTATAAACGTTTTGATATATTGCCTATTGGTTTGACCGAGTCAAAGGGCCTTTGAAATATTATATAAAACTGTTTTTCAAGCATTTAATTCCCTACCTACTGGCAACTATTTGTTATTTGGTCATTAGAAAACCATTACGCATTTTATAAATCAAAGAACAGAGCAATTGTACAGTCGAATGCTTCTCTCTTCACTGTGACCCCTGTAATTTGATATTCTCAAAGGCTCCCGACGTTTTCCACAAAAATTGATAAGCATTTTGACATCCATTGTGAGCCCCTTTAATCTGGCTATGTCAAAACTGACATTTTATACTGGCTCTGAAATGTATCAGGGAATAGGCTTAACTCCTCTCTATTGACATTTAATTGTAACTAATTGTATTCACATTCTTAATTTAATGACACTGTGATGTTTTAATAATAATAAGCATTTTAATCTGCCTAACATCAGATGTTTTTATTCATCTACTTGCCTGTTAAGCTGCAATATTTAACTTTGTCTAATAGACCTTTCTTATAATGACTTAATGAGATGTCCCAAGGGATAATTTTTAGCGACAATTCACAATTCAAATGATGTTTTTACTAAATTTATTGGCTCGCCAACGACTTGCATTGCGAATCACAACCTCGCAAGCAAGGGCCTCCACACCCGCGGCGGGACCAAAAATGTCCGTCCCGCCGCGGGTGTGGAGGCCCTTGCTTGCGAGGTTGTGCGAATCGTTGCTAAATTGTCAGTTACTTTAGCTTTACAGTCAGCCTACTTTATCAATTCACTCTGTCTAATGGCAAACAATTTTCATCAAGGGGAGCACACTGGCTCGCAATGGGTTAATGATAACCTGCCAACCCAGGTAACCCTTTTCAAGATCATGTCTGTAGTAGACTCTGCAAATTTGTCCCGTAATGTGTCGTATGTCCAAGGGTGAAAATCCATTTTAAAAAGTGGGGGACTTATCCAGCCAAAGAACACAATTTATTATACTAGATAATATAATAGTGCCCTTGCCTATGTCCCTTGTTATTCCTTTAGTACCTGAGGATTTTACTCGTCAAGGGCATTTCCAGGTTTTAATATTAACTATTTAAGTCAATGAGTTAGTAAGTACTTTTTTCAAACACAATATAAACCATGTAGTTTGTATTATATATATACATGTGGATAAAATTGTCAGGCTGATATTGCAACTAGTGTCCCCTTTCTCAATTAAGGTTTTAACGTTGACAAAACATTATTTAGCACAGTGACTATACATTACTGAATAAAGTCACGATATCATCTGGTTTTAAGCAGAATAAATTGATAAACTGTTCAGATCGGGTACGATACTTCATTTTGTGTTTGTTAAGGAGCACAACACTTTAGTATAGCCAGTTGTTCTTGAGTATTGTAACAAAGTTATATTACTGAACTTCTTCACATTGACTTGTCAAAACAAAGCTTTCGGGGGATTACACATCCAAAGCTTTGCCAAATAAATTGATAAAAGTATATGTGATGTTTCCGCAAAAATAAACAGTAAGGTTATAATTATTTCACCATGCAAGCATACAAGAAATGTATTATGTCAAAACAAACTGCCAATAATTTTGAATTTTGGCTTTACAGTACTTGTGACCAGGATGTGATCATATATATACAAAATGTCATATTGATATTCAGTTTGCAGAAGTACAATCTTTTGACAAGGTACAGCAGTGATAATATGACTTCCAAAAAAAAATTTAGTTTGTTTAATCCTAAACATGCTAAAAGTATTCTGTAATTGTAAATTTGAAGAGTTTTTGAGAAGGAAATTTCAAGCCGAAAATTATGTACTGTATACTGTATTTTAGACCTGAGCAGGAGCATCTGTGAAAAATGTTGTGTCATGCAATTGTACTATAAACTAGACAATTGCACTGGTAAACTAATTGTACACTCAATTTAAATATCTAGTGCAGTACAAAACTTTAATCTGCCTCATGGTACTGTATGTGGTTTGTCTGCCTGAGGAGGTCTAGTTGCACAACAGCCACTTGTTATGTTAATTGTTTTTCAAGTACTGTATAGGGCCATAAAATAGGATGTATAATCCAATTTTGTGGTCAAAGATGCCTGTTTGTGATATGCATCCTTTAGTATAGCCAGTTGTTCTTGAGTATTGTAACAAAGTTATATTACCGAACTTCTTCACATTGACTTGTCAAAACAAAGCTTTCGGGGGATTACACATCCAAAGCTTTGCCAAATAAATTGATAAAAGTATATGTGATGTTTCCGCAAAAATAAACAGTAAGGTTATAATTATTTCACCATGCAAGCATACAAGAAATGTATTATGTCAAAACAAACTGCCAATAATTTTGAATTTTGGCTTTACAGTACTTGTGACCAGGATGTGATCATATATATACAAAATGTCATATTGATATTCAGTTTGCAGAAGTACAATCTTTTGACAAGGTACAGCAGTGATAATATGACTTCCAAAAAAAAATTTAGTTTGTTTAATCCTAAACATGCTAAAAGTATTCTGTAATTGTAAATTTGAAGAGTTTTTGAGAAGGAAATTTCAAGCCGAAAATTATGTACTGTATACTGTATTTTAGACCTGAGCAGGAGCATCTATGAAAAATGTTGTGTCATGCAATTGTACTATAAACTAGACAATTGCACTGGTAAACTAATTGTACACTCAATTTAAATATCTAGTGCCTTTAATCTGCCTCATGGTACTGTATGTGGTTTGTCTGCCTGAGGAGGTCTAGTTGCACAACAGCCACTTGTTATGTTAATTGTTTTTCAAGTACTGTATAGGGCCATAAAATAGGATGTATAATCCAATTTTGTGGTCAAAGATGCCTGTTTGTGATATGCATCCTTTTCCTAATGAAGTGGCCCTTGTTGAAGAAGCACTGACAATACTATAATCTGTAAGAGCACTTAAAAATATTCATCTTGGTTAGTAATATTCAATTCTATTGTGATATTGTGAAGGAATGCTATCCTGATATTTTAGCCATTACAACCCTTACTATATTGCTCTATTTTTACATAATTTAGCTAATTTTTTCTTTAATATTTAACTGATTATAACTGTCATTTGCAACTAGGGGTAAGTAACATTTTATATGCTTTAATAACACCATAAATTTGTGGGCCCAATCTAGCCTCCTCCTCAGGCATCTCACCTGAGGCACAGAATAGGAAGTTATACCAGAAGCGTAACTCTAGTCATTTCCCTTATTGTTTGACGTCCACGAAAATTTTAACTCGCTCACGTCAGGCCACGCCATCCTGGCTAGTACAGCCGGAAGTTTTTATCAGGATTTGGTAGGTACAAAGTGCCGGTTGTACTAGCCAGGATGGCGTGATTGATGACGAATCGCTTGTAAAAACGCGGACAAATATTTGCTCGAGTTACGCTTCTGGTATAACTTCCTATTCTGTGCCTGAGGAATTAAGTGGGGCCTGCCGAGGAGGCTAGGCCCAATCCATTCTAGAGTGTTATTATAAATTTTTATTTTAAAGTTTGCCTGTAATTTTATGGAGGATTGTAATGAGTTGTAATTACCCTGAATTTAACACATTTTATGAATGAATGAATTGAATGACTTTATTTAAGAGTGAAAAGTCCACAAAGTGATTTTTCATTTTACACTCTGTTTACAGATTAAGGTTATTACAATATTATTATCTATCAAAAGTTACTATCATATTTATAGTTAAGTTACTATTTAGTACCTATTTACAATGGTTACTTAAAATTGGCCCTAACAGCCATTTTAAAACTAATTAGATTTGTTTTTTCCCTAATACTTAATGGCAAACTATTCCATAAAACTGGCGCCCAATATTCAAACGACCTTGTTTGACTGTTTGTACATGGTTTGGGAATGGCCAAGTGTCCATTTGCCGCCGATCTTGTTCGATAATTGTGCTTATTCATCAAAGGTATTAATTTGTCCGAAAGACATGTTGGACCATCTCCGTTGGACCATCTCCATTTAGACATTTATAAAGTAGGGAACAACGCTGCAAGTAATAACGATTGGACATACAAAGCCAATTTAATTTGTCTAGTAAAGGTGTTACATGGTCAAACTTTTTAAAGGTGTTACATGGTCAAAATTTTCTGTTACATTTTTTCAAAATTTGTTGATTGTTGACAGAATTTGCCCCAATTTCTTTTTTTTTTTGGGGGGGCTAGCCCCTTTGTCTTGTATGCCTATATGCATGACACATTTTGTGTTTTAATAACTTTTTGACAATTTTTAGTCATGGTAATGGTAATTGACTGGGAGAGAGTGCTGCCACTCATTAGTGCCCTACTTTATTATTTTACTCTGTCTAACGCCAGGCGATTTTACTCAGGGAGAGAGTGCTGCCACTAATGGGTTAATTTAAGTTGTGACAGTATATCATAATTATTATATACATTATAGTACTATATGTGACATACTGTATGTCAAATTTTTCTCCAAGGTGATGTTGACTCCATCTCAAATTGTTTGGATTATAAACAAGGAGGAAATACAGTGAGCAAGAGAGGTCTGAAGTGGTTGATTGCTAACAATATTAATTTCCAAGAAGGTAAGAGGACAAATATTGTTTGTTTTTGGTGACACACACATTTACTCTGAATTTGTCTCCTGTTGTGGTGATCGAAGCATGAACTTTGTGCAATTTTGTACTTATCACTGATTTGTTAATATTTATAATGAAAACCTTGTATTCACTATATAAACCATTGTTCTGACCATATTTTCGACCATAAAATATATTTACTATTTGTACAAAAATAGCACACAGAGTCACAGACTTTGCAGTATGTTAAGCATATACATTATTGACCAACTTTTGGGGACTGTGAAATACAGTGTTAATAAAAGATTAACATCCCATTAAATATTAACCATAGTTAAAACCACATTGTTTGCCAATGTAATGATGCTTATAACTAATTCAAACTAAAATGAATTGTGACTAACAAGAAATAGTCTCATTGTAATTATAATTGTACCATTTAAATTATTGATCAAAGCAGTTTTATTTACTGTATGTACAGTACATGTAGGATAATTGGTGGGATAAGAAAAAAAACTTGCCTGTTTATTGTATGAAGTGTTTGTAGAGTACATTATTTTATGGAAAAATTAGCGCTCTCTGTAAGAAAGCATTATATGTCAACATTTTTCTGTTTATTAATTAATGTGAGCACACATCACAGGAAATGTTTAAAACAGCTGCAGGAAACTTGTATGATTGAAGATTTGCTACTTGAAAATTTGAAAGAATCCCTAACATTTATGTTCCACTATGGGCCTAACAACTTATGGTTGACAGACATATTACCCTGAATTTAAAACCATGGCCAACTAGGCCACTATCTATATTTAGGCACAGGTTTAGCATAAAAATACTAACTAAAGTTGGTCTGCAGGAAATTTATATCTCCAGGCTATGCTCCCAGGAAGAAAATTATTTTCCCAAGCCTGTTTAGTGCAATATACTGTATCTAAGGTACATTTGGTCATGTACAAATACCGATGTTTAGGCTTAAGCCAACAATGTTGTTCCAATGAAACCACAATTAACGTCAACTCAACAACAAGTATCTTTGTTGTACTCAGAAGAGGGCTAACTTAGTCACTTTTGTAATCACGTTTGGACTGTGTTTCACCAAATACATCCCAAACTTTACTGCAATTTTTAAAAATATTGGCTCACAATAGAATTGTACAAGAAGTGTATCCTTAGGGCTGCAAATAAATATTTGACTTGACAGGACATTTGTCTGATCACTTTTAATTTTGGTCGGACATAACTTGAATTTGGTCGGACATATATACGTCACAAGATATATATGTCACAAGACAAGTATGTATAGCCATTCCAGCGCAACGTTAAGTAAAATGCTAGAATGCCTCGTAAATTTAATTGCAAAATACAAATTGAGTGAATTTGCTATCGGATTTTGTCACAACAAAAAAATGTGTATAATGTGACAATTTTTTTGTGTGATCGGACCAATGTCTGATCAAAATCACTTTTCCTCGGACATTTGCCAAATTTAGTTGGACATTGTCCGATATCCGACAGTAATTTTAATTTGTTTTAAACGTTGGAGAGCAGGTATTCCTGATGCTACTATTTCTTATTTAGCTGAGAACAAGTGTTTGTTTAAATATGTCCATGGTGCTTCTGGATCTGTTAAAGCTATCAGTCAAGTTATTCATATTATTAACACAGATATGCAGGTATTGTGAAATACAGTGATTTTGGATGCATAACATAGAATTTTCTTTGAAAACATCTTGCAGACGTTTCAAGAGTGAAGAAACGTTTGACACAGTGTACCACAGTTCACTCCATTTTATGTCTTTCGTTTGGAATTTAAAATTATAGTAAATGGAAGATATAGAAATTTTGTTGGACGTTCAGGTCATTTTAAAGAAAATTCTCAGGTTTTCTTTAAATCTTCTTAAAATAATCATGTCTATGAACATGTAAAATCCGAATGTTACCCCATATTTATTGTTCATGTTGGTGGAGTAAGTACAAAGTGACAAATTTTTACGACTCTAACATTCAGAAAAACAGCGATTATTTTCAGACTGTCTCAGATTTCATTTTACGGGCGTGACCGAAACGTGTTCAGATTTTAGAACGCAAATTAGAACACGTTCGAAACGCAAATGCATGAAAGCGAATTAGAACGCGTCGACACGCGAATGGAACACAAGTAAAACACGTTGGAAACACGATCCGGATGCATTTCTAGTGCGTTTCCAGTTTCGTTATCTGAAGTTCATCTGAGCAGTACTGTACGAGTGCTTATATTCGGTATTTTACTGAATTTTAAATATTTTTTCTACAGGAAATTACTTCACCATCTGGGACACTCAACAGCTTATTTTCTGGTCAACTTTTAGAGTTTACTATAACAGGTATAACATGCTTCTGTAACCTAAGGTAGAATGGAATCTGACCATATATAGTCGTGTTTACACTAAGGACTCGCATTTACCTGAGACTAGTCTGGTGTCTGACATGATGCCTTACCTACTGCAGGACTGGCCTAAACTTCTAAAGCCTGTTTTACACTAGAATTTGTTCGAACGAAGCGATGTTTTTCTTTATCGACATCGCTTATCACGTCAGCAAAAACGACGCCGACAAAGGAAAAACTTCGAACAAATTTGCCTAGTGCCCGTAAACAGGCTTAATTTAAGACCTGAGATGCAAGCCACCTGAAATTAGGCTAGTCCAAGTTGGTTTACACTAGAAGACTGCTTTTTTGTGGCTTCATCAGTTGGTAGTCAGCTAAGTTTGTTTACTCAGTATAAGAATAGACGAAATTGTTGTGAACTCAAAAGATATGCGTCATTATAAAATGACGTTGAAACGTCAGGATTTTGACGAGTCCTTCATTCTACTGTATTTGTACCTGTTTTTATTTTTTAGATGATAGCTAATGTCGAAGATCACTTCTTCTGTATGTTTGCTCTAGCTACTCTCTTGCCAATGTTTAATAAACGTTATAAATTCATTGAAAAATGCAGATTTAGAAGTGCATGTAGGGTAATGTTTTAAAGAAAGTAGCCGGCAGTAAACTTCGTAACACCCGCCAGAGCTTCTGATAGCTTTCGTAGGGAGGATTTAAAATTAACCCATTTATTTATTTTATAAATTTATCGACAGGCATGGAAGCTCGTAACCTGAAACGTACCTTATTCGGTCGCCCTTCACCATATGTTAAAGTAAGTCTACGACCAGGTCGAATGCAACGTAAAGCTTGGCGTTCACATCATGGTGGGATTGGTAAAACACGTTGTCAGGTTAATACAACTGAGCCATCCTGGAGTAATGAGGTAGGTGACCCTAGGTCTACCGAATATAATAACGTGGAAATGAAGCAATGATTGCAATTCGTCTTGCTAACTAATTTACCATTTTGGATAGCACAAATCATCGCGCGCACTCCTCTTTCAAAAGTAGAAACACTTCAAAGGATCTAATTTCAGCGATAGATATATTCGCCTTTTCACACACCCTTTTAGCAGAAAAACTAAATATTTCATACTAAAGACTTTAAAAACTGGCAGGTTGTATTTGATAGTACCCCGCAAGCATAGCGGGATATTGTTTTTAATCCAATTTTCCAATTTTTTGCATTGTAGTGCAAAAAATCTTTGATTTCGGCATATCGAAAATTTCGGTATATCTAAAAATTCCGGTATGTCGTAAAATTCGGTGTGACTGAAAACCCGTGCTGATACGCCGAAACTGGATTGAAACCGGTATTTTTTGTATATCGGTTCAGTATTACAGATCAGTGTTCAGTATACCGAACAGGCCTGGGGGAGACAGGTGTTTGTGACAAGAAAGTGACCCGAAGAAGAAGGAATGACGGAAGGAGAGAAGGGACAGGGGTGGAAAAAATAATTTTCTTCCTGCGAGCACAGTCTAAAGATAAAACATTTCCTGCGGAATAAATCTAGCCATATACTGTAGGTTAATTTCCTGCAGCAGTATAAAAACTGAGCTCGTGTTCTCGTACATTTTTGCCACCCCTGGGAGGGGAGGAAGAACGACGAAGGGAAAAGAAATGGGAAAGAAGGAGGGAAAAGGAAAATGGAAACAAACTGGGAAAGAAAAGGCTAGAACCAGGTAACGAGCGAAACAAAAAATACGCATAAGCATGCAGTGTTGCATATCTTTTAATAATTTAGGTATTCGCGTTTAAAGCTAGCATCTGGGATATACTGGAGATTGAAGTACGCAACAGGTCTATGGGAATTAAGCCGACATTTAGCAGGTTTCTTGGAAAATTACATTTCCCGTTGAGAGAATTACTGACAAAAGGAAGAAACAGGTACGATAATTTGTTTTGCGGAAAATCCCACGATTATATTGTTGATTACCACCTGTCCACCTATGTCTGTTAAATGTCCGTTGGTCTCTTGTCAATCGCAAAATTTATGTTCTTTTAACTTATCTTCTTTTAATCGTTCTGCTCCCTGTAAAATTACGGTTCACGGGTAATCAAAAACGGTCAAACGTTTGGGACTATTACTCAATTCAGAGAGCTGTTAAGCCTTGGCCAAACAGAGCGCATCTCATCGCAAGTTTAAACTTCTAGCTGAGGCATGGAAAAGAAGGGGTCAATGATTTGACAAAAAAATCGCGAAGTGTGGGATATACAGTACAAAGTGCCATTAAAAGGGCTATTTGTTTATAATACAAATCGAAACTTGTATATATGTTTTACTTCATAATTTTGACTCATCTACCAACTTTTCGCTATTGAAACTACTGTATTCATTCATTTAAAATTGCGACGACTTGCGTTCTCGTAGAGGGTAATAACAATTTATTATTCAATCGAATAAGATGCCAACAAAATCTTGATATTTACCCATTAACCTACACATGGCAGTACCCTAGTATATATACATGAACTTGTGGTTAGAGCTTGACAACTGGACTCTGTAGCTCAGTTGGTGAGATCGCTGCACCAGAATCGCAGGGTGGCAGGTTCGATTCCTGCCAGGGACCTAAAGTTGCATTTTTCGCAGCTGTTCCTGGTTATGTCTAATAAATGTATATAAATTTCCACTCGATAATTTCCATCTAACAATACCCTTCGACTAATAACAAAACTGAATACTATTCAGTGAATAGAATCATAAACCGATCTCCATTTTATTTAACCAGAACTCAGACATTCACCGGACAGTTAATGAAGAGAGAACCGTCGCGTAAAATTCTAGGAACATTTTCACTGTCAATAAAAACTGATCGTGATCTTCCTGGTTCACGGAATTCTAGACGTAAGTATGGATGGTATTATATGCGATTAGTTACGCTGTGTCATGCTATCATTTTAAAATGTTCTATATTCATGAACGCTTTTATGACAAAGTTTATAAATTTATTAATTAACTTCCCCATTTACAATTATGAATGTATGGCCAACCTTTTGATATGTTTTATAGTTTACTGTACCGTTACGTACCGTACCGTATACATTATACATTACAGTACAGTACAGTACAGTACAGTACAGTACAGTACAGTACAATATAATAGAGAGGTTCAGATTTGACTTCCATTACTGCTACCACTACCATTGAGGGACCATTAACCAATCAGATGCGTTTCATATATCCGATCAACCAATCAGACGTGTACTAAGTCAGCGGTAGCGGTAGTGGAAGTAAAATCTGAACCTCTATAATATAATACAGTGAACTACAGTACAGTACAGTACAGTACAGTACAGTACAGTACAGTACAGTACAGTACAGTACAGTACAGTAAACTATAATACAATAGTAATAATAAACTAGTAATACCATACAGTGACGTTCATTACAATACAGGACAGTACAGGACAGGTCCAGCACAGGACACGACGGTGCGGTACGGTACGGTACGGTACCAGTACAGACTCCTGGTACATCGCTAGCATCACAGCCCATTAAGGCAGAGTTCTGCTACAAAATGTTTCCATGTATTTTAAATAGGTCAAGCATCTCCCGACAGTCTGGACTCAGGTGATCACAATGGCGAGCTAGTAAATGGGACTGGTGAGGAACATCCTGAGAGTGAGGGAGATAGACGACCGTCACTCAACGCCTCTACACCGGATGATGATCTTAGCATTCGTGAACGAACGTCAACTGTGCCCATTCCCCCTGCTCGAGCAATAGCTCAGATTTTTATGGACCAGTCTATGGCAGCTCAGTCTCAACCTGATTTACTAGGCCTCCCATACACAACACATGAAAGTGTACTCATGAGGAAAAGGAACATTAATAATACTCTTAGTGTTAGTCCAACTGAACTTAATTCCAGGTTGTCCATGCCTCCTTTTGTGTTCTCATGTACTTCACTTCGAAGTTTTGAGAATGCACCATCAACTTCAAGTAGTTATGCAAATGATATGACATTGAGGGCAAGTGGAAATGAAGGGGAAAATACGGGTGAAAGTTCTGAGGCTGATGATGCTTCTGTAAATGAACAAGTCAATAGGAACTTGAACTATGAATTTGCAGCTTCGTCTAACAGCATGCAAACTAACACACGTAGTGCATGTGACAGTCTCAGCGCGACAATATCTGATATGACTGCCAGTGAAGTTGAAAATAATCAAAGCTCTACTTCTGTTGCCCCAAGCACCTCCATGAACTCCGAAACCATACTGGATGAAGAAAATAGTGACGGTACTCGTGAAATACGAGATGTTGATACTAATAACGTAAGCTTGGACAATTGTAGTGAGCACAATTCGCACACAAGTGAACTAGAGACGAATGCTGAGGCTGATGTCAGTGAAACTGTGCTTGAAGAAGATGATCCAGCTACGAACGAAGGAAACAATGAAAACCGTAGTGACGTATATGAAACTGAAGATTTTTCGGCTGAAACAAATATGGAAAATGCAAACACAGAATATAGTACAAACGAATCAGTTTTAGTTTTCCCTTTGGAAGTATCTTTATTTGTAGACAATTCGCTTACGGCTCAACAAGACTCAACTGTGTCTGTTGAAAATGCACCTTCAAGTGAAGGTAGTTCATCGTCACTACAACAGTTATCACAACATGAAGTACTAACTGTTGTTCATCTACCTCCTGACGAACCAGATACTTCATTAGGGGAAAGAGATTTTACAGCGGTGCAGTTATTTGGACCAGTTATCAACGCAACTGAAGGGACAAGTTCAGATATTTTGCAAGAAAATAATAACATCGACACAAATAGTGCTAACCGACCTAATGCATCAACAGTAAATGACTCTAGTATATTATCTGTTAACGAAACTCGAGATTCTACTAATGCTAGCACGTCTAGCCTTGAACCTTCACATGGACAACTCGATATACCTGACGAGAACAACATTAGTCAAAATTCTGTACAACATCCTAACTTAACAAGGTTTGAGAGTGGCATGACTGTTGATTCATTTATGGATCTCGAATCTGAACCAGATATCATGAATGTTTTATCGCTTTCAAATGCTACTACTTTCGATATAGTGATACCTACACAATCTGCAGATATGGAAGGAACCTCACCCAGAAGGACTGTGGGTACGTGTAACCTTAGAACGTTATTCCAGATTCCTGATAGGGAAAGTGAAGCAGAAACGGTGGATAACTCTCTTGGAAGAATACAACAAGATGACACAACTCCCAGCGAAGAAGTGAGTGCTGTCATTAACGTTTCAGGGAATAGTGACACAATTCAGCCAGATATTGAAACTTTAGGACATCATGATAGCAGTGCAAGTAATGTTGGCACGGGTTTGAGTAATAGTGATTTGGGTGCTCATGGAACTGCCGATATTTCAGATATATTGCCAAACAGTGACACATCAGTGGTTGAAAATTCTAGTTCAAGTGGATTATTGTCTGGTGGTGGTAATAATGAGTTGGATGACACAGATAATGGCCAATATCAGATGGAGCAGGCATCTACCGAAGAAGCAAGAACAACAAGCGATAGTACAGAAGATGAACTTTCACGAAATGGGAGATTGGAAAATTCTCAAAGTACACCAATGAATGCTAGCTTGATGTCCCAACCATCAATAAATGATGAAGCAAGATCTCAAAGAGATACACTTCCATCTCCAATTCCATCAATAACTCTCGTACGATATCTCCGCTCAAAAAATGTATCCATTCGGTTGCCATCGAGGACCGCTTCTCCTTTACCAGTTGTTCATGTTGTCCCACCAGATGTACCAGTTTCTCCTAGGAATTCTGAAAGTGAATTTCCGTCTACTTCTATTGAAGCTGAACCTATATTGCCTGCAACTCGTGTTGACTCTCCTGTCCAAGGATTACGACCTGTAGCTACTAGGTCACTTGCTCGAGATGTTTTTGACGCACCCGATGGTTCATGGGAAATTGTTAATGCCGGTGCTTCCACTTCACATTCTGGTGCTTCCCTTTCTGAAGCTACTCCAGGGATACAAACGTCATCTGTGTCTGGTGCCTCACATTCAGGGCCAAAACGTAGAAGTTTAAGTGGGAGTTCTCATAGTGGAAATGCGAAAAATAAGAGGACAAATAAATCACGGAACAGGACCAATCGGAACTCTGCCACTGAGCCTACTGAAGGTGCTGAGTCTTTAGGGCAGGTTCGATCAAGTCAAAGGATAATTGAGGAAAGACCAAACAGAAATCATCCAGACAACACAACGGAGGAAACAAATGGTGAATCAAGTCCATCTGATCGTCCCGCTTCTATATACGTTCAAATTTCTGATTTCGCTAGCGATGAAGATGTATTGGATGAGCCGTTACCTCCGCGTAAGTAAATTTAAGTTTTTCAATAAGAAAGTTGCAACAAAAAATCACTGTAATTATTGTATATAGAAAGAAAGCCACTACGCAAAGTATCGTACCGCATATTATGTGCGGTATTACATTATGGACTATAGGAAGATTCAATTTGTAATTTTGGAAAGAGTAAAAAACTGGGAATAATGGTATATCTTGCATCTGGTATACGGACAAAGTTAATGCCAGTAATTAACTAGATACCATAATGCACTACATTCCTCAGTGTCTTGCTCTTTTCTAAAGAAGCGAATTGAATCATTGATCAAGACAGAGCTTGGCCCTTGAGCCTCTCTACTGGTAAGAAGTAATAAACGATCTCTCGAATTCTCTCAAAAGATTTCATTTTCACAACTAACTGTATTACCTACTTTTTAAAAATTCTTCAGCAAAATTTCATGTTTTAAAACTTTCGGTTTTCGGGACTGTAACACAATCGTGTACATTGGAGTGCTTTTTCTTCTTACTAATTGGTATTGTCCAAATTATTTCAGATTGGGAGAGAGCAGTTGACTCGTATGGCCGTGTGTACTATATCGATCATGAAAACAGAATTACAACCTGGATAAGACCAAGTGCTGGTATGTACTGTGTAAATAATGGTAGAGACTTTGCTGTTTGTGGTATTAAATTTTATTTGATTTTTATTATCAGCATCTGCATCAGAAACATCTTTGAATGAAGTAAACCATCACAGACAAAATCTTGATAGAAGGTATTTACACGTTTTGAATCTTTTACTACTAAATACTGTAGTTTGAAACTATTAGATTGTCGGTGGAAAACAACGGCGAAATTTACGCAACATTTAGCAGATTTAGGGGTGGTTAGGGAAGTGTGACAGTAATGATAACTCTGGTGAGATTTTATTTCCTCACTGCGCAATTATCCCTAACGATCCCCTGCCTACAATGTATTGCGTCATTTTGCCTTTGACCACCCAATTGCCTGCATAGGAGGCTAATTTGATTGCTTCTTATACAGTTCCTAAAATTGTATCGTTGAGACTTTTCCAGATTATTATTGCTTGGTATTGGAACGTTAAACTGCTAAATTCAATAATGTGATTGGTCAGTGATAAAATCTCTGCGAGAAACTGTAGGAGTGGTTTGGCATGTATGGTGAATTTTATCGCTTTACAAATACGTTACTTTTCGATTGTCTTCCCGCGAAAAAATGCCTACGTGGTAAGTATTGGGTGTAAATAAGGCTGATCACACGTATTTATCATTTGTTTAGGTATCAAAGTTTCAGACGAACGTTGTCAGGTCGACGACGCCGACGTTCCTTTGACGAAACAGCCAATGCAAACGTGGACATGACAATCTCCACTGAGGCAACAAGTCCTAATGATATTTCAACAACCGCCACTCCTACTGTTAATACACGCTCGAGTACAGACACCAACACACGCTCGACTGCAGACTCAAACACGACATCACCATCAGCACGAGCTACTACATCAAGATCGAATGAAACCACACCCAACAGACCTTCTAGTGATAATCGGCAGTTGTTGAACTCCTCTTTTGTAAAGTTTCTTACTCGAGCTGATCTTATTTCTTTCCTCAGAAGCAGCGGGGTAAGTGTGTTCTTTAATTAACTTGGGGATTCATCGTCAACTGTTGTGTGGACATAGGAAACCGTTGTTGTAGAAATCGTCAGTGTAAAAAGAGAAGCAGAGGATTCTGACTTGCCTTCATACAAAACGTCGGAATCCTTTGAAATTTTTAGTGATTGTCTGATCGTTCAACAATCGGAAATTAACGATTACCGATTGTTCCAAGTCACAGCCATTGTAAAAATTAGTCAAATGACGTCATTCATTTTGTTTATTGTTAGTTGCCACTTGGTAAATTGGCTTCACTTTTCATTTCTTAACAATTTATTTTTATTACAGGCCGCTGGACAGTATTACTTTAGTCACCCAGAAGTCAAAGATATCGTGAAGCGAATCAGGGAAGATCCACGACATTATCTCAGGTTTGCTAAAGCAATGATTTACTATATAAAGCAGTATAGTAATATCGAAATTTCTAAGGCATTCAAAGACGTTAGATTGGATAAAACCATCCACCAGTCCCTTTTGGCTCCATAACTTATTGAGTTCAGTAGCAGTCTAGAAACTCGAAAGTGCATCTTTATTCCCGGTTTGGGACAACAAATTTTTCTTTGTTTCTACAGTGTTCTGCAATGCCAAGATAAGTGTGAAAACATTTTTTTTCTGAATACTTCGATATTAAATCTCGGTATAAAATAAAATTCGTGCACAAACTATTTACTATAAACTAAACTAAACTAGATTTGTATACTGAATATTTGTATATACCGTCACTTCTAAATTGTTCTCCGTCGATGTGCATCAAGGACCATCCTTTATTGCATGGTTCAGTGTTATTACATGAGGTTCATGTAAACGGGGTAGCGGAGAACCTGCATGTAGTGATTAATTATTAGAGTCAAAGTAGAAGTGCTTTTCTCGCATGCGTATGAGGTGAAAATTTATTCAGCAAACTATTTAACAAATATAAAATATTTTCCTGATATACAGTTATATCAACACGAGTGGAAATTGGGAAAACGAGAAATTGTGTGGAAACACGACGCCCGAAGGGCGGAGTGTTTTCACACAATTTCGAGTTTTCCCAATTTCCACGAGTGTTGATATGACTGTATATCAGTACGGAAAAAATGTTTTATATTTGTTTTATAATATAGCACAAACAAACAGAAAGAAAGAAATTTTCCGACGTTTCTGTGTTGACATTGAGTTATATCAACACGGCTCTTAGCCAATCAGCGTTCAGAATTTACAAGTGCTATTTTATAATATTATTTATTGCAGGAATCAAGTTCCAGTCTGTGCCACCAACACCCTTAGCTTTAACGTTTTCACATGAAGACTAACCTGTTTGACCATCCAAATATTGCAGGTTCATGCATGATCGTAGTTTGGTGACGTTTCTCAATGGTTTTGCTGATACATCACAAGCACTGCCTCGTGGCTGGGAACAAAAGACTGATCAGCATGGCCAGGTATACTAATACTTTAATTAGTCAACACTACATTATTAATAACTAACTGCGTGAATATTTTTTTACGACAAATGTTTCTTAGGACATATGAGGAATATTTAGCGTCCGAGAATAACAACTTGTTTTGACCTTGTTTTACCGTCTAGTTTTCCTCAGCCCCCTCCCACGCCCCTCTGACCCCTCAATTTTGTGTACACCTTTTGCCATTATTACTGCGTGCACTGACGCTCGAAATACGTATTTCTAGAAATATTTCGTGGACCACAATAGTAGAAGTACAAACTTTGCCGACCCCAGACTATCTGTCGATACAACAAGAAACAGATCGAGAGCTGTAGAGGTAAGCCAAAGGCCAAAGGTATGAATACAGCTAATTGAGTTAAGATTGTCCTTTGAAAACCACAAAACCTGGACTTCTTAAGAAGTTGAGTGAAGTGCCCAAAGTATATACTATGACATTGTTTGTTAAAAGTTGGTAACCAAACTGTATAGTAAAATCAGTTTGCCAGTCGAGAGTTCGGAAACTTGAACAGGTTAAACGTAAACATTTGGGATAATTTAAGCGATGTTTCCGCGGGATCGTTGTTTAATCAAAGAAAAAGAAAAACGCTATTCTGTTGCTATGTGACAAGTTACGCTGTTGTCCGCCAATTACCAAGCGTATAATGCTCCAATGCGTCTGGTTTTGCCAGCTATTACTCCTACCTCCACAGGCCTTTTGGGTAAAGTAAAAAAAAGTAAAAAGTATATTAGTTAAACAAAAAGAGGAACGTCAATATATGCTTTCAAACAGGATTTCACTTCAGGTAAGAATTTGTCTTTTCGCCGGCTTAGGATGTGCTTGAACCATATGCGCTCGCCTGGCGAAAATGTCTGCGCATTTTGTCTGCTATATACATGTAGTCCCTTCCTGTTTTCTGCAATCACCAGTCTCAATGAAATAACTTGATCGGTACAATGTAAGCGGCCAAAGTCACTTTTTTCATATTCGATAACATCTATCCTCAACAGAGGCATATTAATTTTTCCCAAGTTGTTCTGTTCAATAATGTATTCAACAGATGATAAACTTTATTTATCCACGCATAAAATTAATTTCGTAATTTAAGCACCATTAACTGTTATTGTTTTGTTCATAAACATGATCAGAATCAATTTTTATATGCAGTAAATTATAAACAGCAACAACGTTCAACTGCATTTAAATATCCTATATATATCCAGAGCGCTTATATATATATATATATATATATATATATATATATATATATATATATATATATATATATATATATATATATATATATATATATATATA